CTTGCACACCTAAAATTCAGTGCTAAACTGCCACATCTGATCATCATAAATGCCTTGGTGTACTACTTTTGACTTCTATGCAAATATCTTATGAAGTTTATGTTTCTTTCCTTACCTCAAGTTTCAAAGAACTCGATTTCTATTATTACTATAAAAAATCTATCTTTCAGGGGGAACCCTTACCCTGGGTTCTTGAGATCATTTTTACTTAAAAACTCTTTCAGTAACTATATTTCAGCTTAACACCTTCAAAGAGGTTGACCTACCCAAATAAATTCAATAAACTAGGCTTACTATAAGAACCTCAGAAACGTCAAGTGCTTGATCACTTTAGAACTTTATTTCTCTTAAATTCAAATGAATTCAAGCTAATTTTAAAGTTCATTTAATGGATGAATGGAAGTATCACTTATCAAAATAATCAAAATTTTCTTGCAAAAAAGTTCAATGTTTGATGCTGACTGAGTAAAATATCAAAATAACATAAATCAACATTTTACTTTGGAATGAGAGAGGCAGAGACAGGTGGCTATTAATATTTGTGACTCCTGGCAAATACTTCATCAAACCCTTATATCCACTACTTTCTTGGTAGTAGGACATTCGCTGGAAGACAGGTTCTAGGTAAGGAAAGGCAGCCCAGGCCATCATACACTCAGTAATCGCTCAGAAAGGAGAAGGGTATATATGGTCTCAGTCTAGAAAGGATCTTCTTTAGATAATCTGCCAACCTTTCATTCAATAGGAAAGGACTCTAATGCCCAGAGAACAGAGGTGATTTTTCCTTAAATCCAGTCACTAGACCCCAGTGATCCTGACTCAATCAGACATTGTTTCTACTATCCATGAATCTACCATCCATCTCTTTAGGACATCAAAACTTTACAAATATAGCCAAAGTGTTCAGAAGGGGAGAACTCATGAAACAAAAACTAAGATTAGAGTTGTGCCTGGCTGACTCAGTAGGAGGAACATAAGACTCTTGATCTGTGGGTCATGAGTTCGAGCCCCATGTCAGGTGCAGAGATTACTTAAATAAACTTAAACACCTAAGATTAGGAATTCTCTTAGCCGCAGACATGAGAACTTCAGAACAAGTCATCTGAACATCCTCAATTGTCTATCAGAGATGCTGTAAGTTTGACTGTATCATGGCTTCAGACATCAGAAACAGATTTTGCCAGTACTGACTGTTATGACTCACAGTCCTCTTCTGAGAGAAGGTGCCCATCCAGTTTCAAAGACTAAACATAGTACAGGCATGCACAGCACCAACTCAGTGAAATTAATCCAGCAAGGGGAAGTAAACCAAAAGGCTAAAGATGCCTGCTGGTTTAGCATAGTATAGGAGGAGTGTCAGCCAACATCTGAATACTGTTTTCAGTCTCCAGAGACATTCAAGGTCAATGGCCAAAGAAAAAAATCTGGGCCATGCAAATTTCTTTTGTCATGTGAGTTCAACAGGACTGGGGCTCTAAATGAGTGTTCATGCCCAGCTGTCTTGAATCATCACTTTCTATTCTAGCGTTTTAGAAAAATATTTTAGAAAAGCAATATCTCCTAAACTACAAGTTTTGTGGGATGGAAGATGCAGAGAACAGAATATAATGTTGTAAAAACTAATATCAAAGAATCTTTATTAAAAATGAACCAGGGGCAGGGTGCCGTTTGGTTGAGCATCTGACTCTTGATTTTGGCTCAGGTCATGATCTCATGGTTCGTGGGATTAAGCCCTGTGTGGGGCTCTGCACTGACAGCATGGAGCCTGCTTAGGATTCCCACTCTCTGCCCCTTTCTCACTCACACTCCCTGTCTGTCTCTCTCTCTCTCAAATTAATTAATTAAACACTTTAAGAAAATGAACCAGGAGCACCTGTTGTGGTTCAGGCTGTTGAGTGTCTGACTCTTGGTTTCGGCTCAGGTGATGATCCCAGGGTTATGGAATCGAGCCCCAAGTCGGGCTCTGCACTGACTATGGAGCCTGCTTAGGATTCTCATCTCTCTCTCTCTCTGTCTCCCTCTCTCCCCTACTTACACTCAAAAAAGGGGGAGGGAGGGGCACCTGGGTGGTTCACTCAAATGTCCAACTCTTGATTTTATCTCAGGTCTTGATCTTGGGGTCATGAGTTCAAGCCCCATTTTGCTCTCCTTGCTGGGCTCTGCACTGGGCCTGAAGCCTATTTAAAAAAAAAAATGAAAATAGCCAGGGGTGCCTGGATGACTCAGCTGGAAAAGCTTAGGGCTCTCGATCTCAGAATCATAAGTTCAAGCTCCATATTGAGTGTAGAGATTACTAAAATAATACAATTTAAAAATAAAACATTTTTTAAAATGATCTGAAATGAATTAGTCAATTTTGACCATATGGGCAACACTCATATAGTCTGTATTCATTTTTACTGATGCAAATATTAACTTTGCCGATAGCTGGTTAGTTCTTCCTCATGATAAATCTGAACATCTGAGCACACAATTTTAACTAAAAGTTTAAACTATTTAAGTTTGAAAATGATTGATATTAAGTACTGATTTTTTTTCTTGCAAACGGCCTTGCAACAAGGTATTCCACTCATTTTGTTGGAAATTCAAGACCTAGACAAAGATCCATTGTCAGAGAGAATGTCACTACGACAAAAGGGCACAAACTTTCTTCTTTTGCAGTAATTTTTTTATATTAAAGACTGCTTGAAACAAGCAGGCAACTGGCTAGACCAGGAAAACATTTCTATTGTGCAAGTTATTTATGTTATATTATTTATCATACAGCAGTAAAATTTGGACTGTATCCATACTTATGGTTCCCCATCCTCCAAACATCAGCGAATACATAATGGGAAATAAACTTGTCAACTTTCAACTTACAGTTGAAACTACACAGTTTCATTCCTTCTCGGCCTTTTGGCTAAGATCAAGTGAAACTACACAGTTTCAGTGGAGCATGTAATTCCTGGGCAATCTCAAACTCAGGGTACAATACATGCTCTCATTAACTCATATGCATAATGGTCATCTTGACCACCCCTTCCCCCACCATGATGATATTCATCTCTGGAGTACACTAACTTCATGTAGCAAATACACTGTTAAAATTACTTGAAAGTATGTTAAAATTTTTGTCCCTCCTCAGACACAATACACAGCATCCAAAGGGAATGTGAGAAATGGGTGCTTCAGCAATAGGCATTGCCTTGATTTTTCCACAGGGCTGCTAATATGGCTTGGGTCAGCCAGAAAATGTTACTCAGTTTTGAAATATCTAGGCAAACGCTACTTTTAAGTATTTCACATGATAAAGTAATAAAGCGCTTTAAAAAATGTATCATTTAAACTCCTCTGGCTGTCATCATCTCCTCAGGAAGACTTTAAAACCAAAACACACAACAACCAAGTGAATGTGTGAAGTTGAGAAAACACATACACATAGGCTGAAGAGACAATTTAATTTTGGCAGGGTCCTCATCTAGCTAAGACAGGGAAAACCTCTGATAACAATGACTAAGTAGAGAAACTCAACCACCTTCAGTACTCCTAGTATGGCTACATCAATTTATTAGAGGTGAACTGGAGATGAAAGGGCATTATATGCAGGCGCTGTGTAACAAGGCATGATGCTCAAGTTTCCTCATGTATAAGATGGGCAAACTGCCTTCAAACCAAAAGACCATGGTGAGATAATATAAGAAAAATAGTTGGCTCAAAGTTCAGTTTCCTTTCCGTGTCAAGCCAGTATTGCTATCACTACATGGAATGTACCATTTGCATTAAGAAGATGCATGAGAGGGGCACTGGGTGGCTCAGTGGAGTAAGCATCCAACTCTTGATTTTGGCTCAGGTCATGATCTCATAGGTCATGGAATCAAGCCTCAAGTCAGACTCCAAGCTGATAGTGCAGAGCCTGCCTGGGACTTTCTCTCTCTCTCTCTCTCTCTCTCGCCCTCTCCCCAAGCTTTTTTTTTTTTTTCCTCAAAAAGATGCATGAGAGGAGACTGTATGCAAACATGCAGCCTGCATACACTTGGGTTCTGTCTCTATAGGTGCTGTTTAGATCTGGAAAGAAGTTAACTACTAGTGACGCTTTTCACCTTGAAAGGAAAGAATAAATTCAAGGATGACACAACACACAGCCAAGCAGACCCTCTGAGTAAAGCCTCATTAATGCTCTAGGATTACTAATTCATAATAGGCCCCAACTGCTGATTCCAACAGACTCTATCATCTTAACTAGCTACTTTCAGTAGGGGAGGGAGGCAGGAGAAACTGACCTTGATTCACCTCATTACCAACCAAATGTGGAAAACCCTTTAGCACAGTGGTTCTCAATCTTGGCTGTACATTGCAACCACCTGGGGAGCTTTTAAAGCTCCAACTGCCCAGATCACACCCCAAACATCCAAATATCTGGGGGCAGGGGGCAGCCATCCATAATTTTTTAAAGTCTCTAGTGAGTCAAGACGCAGCCAAGGTTGAGAACCACTGTCTAGGATCATGCCTCCTGACCTTAAATTACACGCTGCAAACCAAACTAGGAAAGCCAACCTGGAGGGTTTCACAACCACAACTTCTGAGGAGAGCAGGTACAATGGAGTCCCAAACGCTGGAACATCACAGGTGCCTGCACTGAGGTCCACACACACGGCCGAAAATCTAGCTTATCAGCAAGAGGGTTACCCAGATCCTCAGCTGAGAGCCACCTTTTCAAACAATTTGCATTACAAACAAAAACTCCAAGTTCACCAGTCTTAAGAGATGGCACGAAAGCCCTCTAGGATTTTTTTTTTCTTTTTTAAAGACAAATCTCTGGGGAAGGACAGTGTACGTGGGAGCGCGCCCCACACACACAATCTATAGAAAAGCAGACAGAAACGTACTTCCCATGGCCGCCTAGAAAACACCCCGTAAACTCCCCTCTGCGCAGCGCAAGCGGGCGCGCGCCGGCCCGTGGCCACTGCACCTGCTGTCGCGCCGGGCCGCACCTGCCGCGCCGGGCCCTCTCCTCCTACCTTCCAGCAGCTCGTCCAGGCTGGTGACCTTCCGACTGCCGTCGATGGTGTAGATGGTGCGGACGCCCTGGGGCAGGTTCACGTTGTCCGACAGGGAGCGGGTGAGCTCGATGAGCAGGGCATCGAAGGACCGGAAGCGGTCGCTGGAGATGGCAAACACCAGGCCCTTGAAGTAGCGGTCCCCATTCCGGTAGAAGCGCGCCTTCTTGGCCTTCTTCTCTGAGCTCAGAGCCTGCAGGGTCCGCGTGCGGTAGAAGCTGCAGTGGGCACTGTGCGCCGGGCTGGGGATGAGCCCGTTCCCCTTGGGGCCCGAACTGCTGCTGCCTCCTGAGGAGCTGGGCGCCCCTCTCCGCGACCCCGGTCGCGGCCTTTTGTCCCGTTCCTCAAAGTGCTCCAGTTCAATACTCCTGGTGCTGGCCATCGCGGCTGCTCCGAGGGCTCCCCACAAAACCCTCCCAGCCACAACCCCTGGGTAGCCTAACGTCAACGCGAGAACCGAGTCCAGGGACGTTCGGACCCTGAGGGGCCTCACAGAGCCGGGACACCTGGCTCTGGCATCCCGCCGTCTCCTCGCAGGTGGGGGCCTCTGAGCAGCCGAGGCGCCAACCGGCCCGCGCCCCCACTACAAGTGGCCGCAGCGTCGAGCTGCCCAGCTCATTGTCCAGCGCGGCTCGCTAGATCCCTCCCGCCCACCGGGGAGCCCCCCGCCCCCCCAGTCCCGGTCGCCTTCTCCACCCAGCCACGCCTCACAACTCCCGCCTGGGAGCCGGCCAGGAGCCGCGAAGTTGGGCCACCCCAGGCTCGCCTCGGGCCCGCGGGCGCACACAAAGCTCGGGCGCCCGCCGCGGCTCGCGTCCGCCAGCGCCTCCCGGGAGGCTGAGGGGAAGGAAGGAAGAGGAGGGGGAGGAGCTGGGAGCGTGGGAGAGGCGCCGCGGGCCCGCAGGGGCGTCGCGCCCGGCCCCGGCCCGCCCACGCGCCCGGCCGGAGGCCCGGGATGCGGCGCCGCCGCCTCGCTCCCCCGCAGACCCTGCCCTGGGGCGGCGCGCGCGGACTCGGGCCGAGAAGGCGGTGCGGGGCCCCTTCCTCCCACAGAGCCTGCCTCACGCTCTGCCGGCCGGCCCAGCCCACCCGCGAGCATCCGCACCCAGAGTCTGCGAGGTTGGCGGGGGTTGGGGTGGGGGTAGTGGGGGCGGTTCCTGCCACCAAGGGGCTGCCACAACCCGGCAGGGAGGGGGTGCGCGGGTCGGCGCGGTGGCTCTGCGGCGCGAGAGGAGCGGCTCCTCCCGGGTCCTAGGCAGCCCCGCCCGCCTGACAGCTACAGACCCGCGCAGCGCGCGCTTATGGGCGCAGCCGCGGCGCGCGCTCCTCCGCCTGGGAAACGTAAACGCGCAGGCCAAAAAAACTACAAAGGAAGGAGATTCAAGGGCAGAGATCACATCCCTAACTAATCTTCAAAGGAGGAACCGAGGCCAAACTAGGGCAGAAATTCGAATCAGGACATTGGATTTGGGCACAAAATTTACTTTTTAAAAGGAAATTTAAAGCTTTATTTTAAAATCCTTTAATAAAACAGTTTCCGTTGCAGATTTGCTAGCATGGAATGCTGAGTAACTTTGGATGAATGAATCATCAGAAGTTACTGGGTTTTGAGGGATTTATGTCAACAAATATTTGTTAAGAGCATGCCATGTGCCAGGCATTGTTTCCATCCCTACAGATGCAATAGTAAGGGAAACAAACACCTCCCCTCCCCCACTTACACTCAAGTGGTATTAAATGTTATCAATTTAAGCTTCTTATTAAGCAATCAGCCTAACATTTGCAAGCACCCATCACATTAGAAATCTTAGTTTACTAGTATTTGGTCAACAGTAAAATCATTTCCTAACGACTTGTGAGAAACATTAGTTACTTCCATATTGCCGTCCGGGAAAGATAAAGCTAAAAGATGCTGGGTCCTAATCCAGCAGGTTACCCAGCCTATCCTGAAACTTTCTTTATTCAGCATCTGGTTCTCTGGCCCTCGACAACAAATCCAAATTGACCTGTAAGACAGGAAGGCATGGATACTTTTCTTGGAATGAATTGAGTCATGGAAGAACATGAATATGAGAAGGCAGAAATAATCTGCAGTAGTTCTTGAGCAGGTGTGAAGTTGCTTTGGCATGCAGTGCCCCAGAAGAATCCTGTTCCCTGCACCATTGTAGCCCCAGGGCAGTCTCAGGGGCACACCTCGACATAGCTGACTTCTAGAATCAGGCCTGGAGCAGACCAGGAAGTCAGCTGATGTGAGGTTTCAGTGTAGTTTTCAAGGGGAAAAATTCTAAAATAGACCTCAATCCAGACCAGTTAAATCACAATTTCTGGGGATGGGCTTTTCCAACAGTAGTTTTTGAAAGGGCTCTTAATTATATAGCCAGGGTTTCCAACTACAGGCTATAACATTAACAATCGAACACCTAAGTGTTCTCAAACTTGGATGTACTTATATGTAGTGGGGGAATCTCATAAAATGTAGATTCTGATTCAGTAGGTCTGGGATAGAATTTGAAATTCTACGTTTCTAACAAGCTCCTAACTAATGCTAACTATTAGTTACTAGTTAATAATCCTCCTGGTCTCCATACAGCACTTTGAAAAAAAAGGGACTTAATGGCGAGTTCCTTGAGATAAGGCCTCATTAAGTACAAAAATTACAGAAGCTATCAACTTTGTAAATGACTTAAAGTGGTTGGGTTCATTTTGCTATTACTATTTCTTGGGAGAGAAAACACACACACTTTCTAATCTGCTGCAGTAACAAATTATCCCAAACCTTGTGATTTACAGCAATAAATATGTGTTATCTCCGCAGTTTCTGTGATTCGGAGATCTAGGGGCATTTTCCCTTGAGTTCTCATTTGATTGTAGTCAAGACATTGATTGGGGCTGCAGTCCTCTGCAGGTTTGACTGGCACCGAAGACCCACTTCCAACATGGCTCACTCACATGTTTGGTTGGAGCTCTCAGCTCCTTGCCATGAACACCTCTCTGTAGGGTCGCTTGAATGTTGTAACATCTCAGCTGGCTTCCTCTAGAACAAGCATTTATCAGAGAACAAGGTGAAAACCATTATGTCTTTCCCACAGTATCCTGTAAGTTACCAGGGTCAGCCCTCTTAATACTGGACACAATGGTATGAGTCCCGGGAATCAGGGATCATTGGGGGCATCTAGTAGGCTGGTAGTGCAGGTTTCAGTCACTCAAGCTTTAGGACCCTGACATATACACGTTTTCTCACTCAAAGATCCCTGATAAAAGATTTGGCCTTCTTTAATAGTAAATACAATGATGTAATATGCCTATTTTAACATTATTCCCTAATATTTTATCTCTAAATTAAACAAAGATTACTGTTTCTCAACAAGAGTGAAGGGAGAGGAGAAAGAATTTCCACAGCAGTTAATTAAAATTATTTTGTTCATGTCTTTGCATTAATTTGTTTAAAGAATTTTATTCCTAGCTCTCATATAAGAATTAAGATGTAATCACTTTTCATAAGCTATTTACTTAATATATACAGCATATGTCAAAACCCAGTTTGCCAAAATTTGAATTTTTATTGTGGCGGCAAAAAATTAGTGTCAGCATTACAATCTTAATGCAAACAAAATTTGGGGGTCCTAGGTAGGCAACTATTAATTAACTTGGGTTACTTCATAGTAGAAGCAAAGCAAATTCTCTCCTTGTAAGCCACTGTGGAATTTGAAGAGTAGGATGTTTCAACTGGCATTTACTTTGTTGCGAAAATCCTTTTTTTTTTTTTTTTTTTAACCAAGGAACACATAGTGATTTGCCAATCATTCCTCATTACAGAGATGGGTCTAATTCTCCTTGGTGGTTGCAATTTCTACCAATTCTGTCTGCCAGGTCCCGATTGAAAAGCGCTTCATTCGAAGGGACTGGCCCTGATTTTTCACCATGTGGAAGCTGGCCTTGACTTAGCTTTCTGTTGGTGATAGTTTCTACATACCCTTTTCTCACACCTCTTAATCTAACATTTGTCTGAATTAAAACTTTTGCTCAGAGTACTTTTTTTTTTAATGCTTCATTTCTTTGCTAGAGAATCTAAGAATTTTAATCCAATCTCTTCTCCGTTTTTTGCATATTACAAATGACCCTTTTCTGCTCTTAATATATAATAATGTTAAATCACGAAGTATCTGAATGTGACCGTTTTCTTGATGATATCCAGAAGAGGGTTTTTAAAAACCATTTGTGGGGCACCTGGGTGGCTCGGTTAAGCGTCCAGCTTCAACTCAGGTCATTATCTCATGGTTCATGGGTTCAAGCCCCACGAAGGGCTCTGTGCTGACAACTAGCTCAGAGTCTGGAGCCTGCTTCAGATTCTGTGTGTGTCTCTCTCTCTCTGACCCTCCCCTGCTCACATTGTCTCTCTCAGAAATTTAAGAATAAAAAATAAACATTTGGGGCAGAAACACTCAACTAGGCATGAAGGGAAGGTAATTGCTTTTTGTTCTCTACACTTGTCCTTAGATCACATAGATTAGCAACACAATTTTAGAGTTTTGGAGCTGCCTTTTAGCCAAGTGGTAACTCCCTCCCCTCAACCACCTCACCTCCCTACCACCACCTTGACTAACAAATACAATGCAAAATTTTCCTTAGTATTATTTGTTTACATGAGGTTTCATTACATACTTCTTTATGGAGTTTTACATAAGAAAATTTGCCTTGAACATCTGCTGATTTTGCTTCAGGCTACTTTATTTTCAAATGTGCTGGCTAGTCTTTACTTCTAGCCAGAAACTTCAGCTCTTAGAGGCAGGTTTCCAGCTCCATTATTTATTACCTAAAGATGCTTACAAGCCTTTTAGACTGCACTGTGCTAAGACTTTCTGCTGTGTCATGTTTTCATTCCTGTTCACCTTGTGCCAAACATTGCTCCCAGAAGCAAAAATGATGAAATGACTGTTTTCAGTGAAAGGGCGGGGTGACTATGGACTTGAATTTTTGAAACTGAGCATTATTTTTAATTTCATAATCTTTAATGAGTGTACATTCTGGTGTTTTTGTCAAGTTTTAACAGCAAAGGACAAAAAGCAAAACAGTTCAGGGAGAGATTTCTCCTCTTACTCCATAACCTGAACCAAGACTGGAAGAAAGATTCATACAAACTTCCCTTATTTGTTGTTTCACCTTAGGAGCTTTGCTGCCCTTTAGTCATGATTCTTGTAGCTTTTTACAAACATATTAATGGCTTATTTACAAATGACATGAGGAAATGATTAAAACTAATTTTTCAGGTTCATAAAATTCAAGCATATTGGTTAAGTCCTTCAAAAATTTCAAGTTTCAGAAGCCAGGGTGGTTCAGTGGGTTGGTTGAGCATCTGACTCTTGACTTTGGCTCAGGTCATGATCTCCTGGCTGTGGTATTGAACCTTGAGTTCTCTCTGAGCATGGAGCCTGTGGGATCTCTCTCTCTCTCTCTCTCTCTCTCTCTCTTTTCTCTCTCC